CACTACGACTCGGAGTGCGCGCGCATGGAGGCCTGGCTGGACGAGCACCCCGACTTCGTCCACGACTACTTCCTCAGGTAAGTGCAGCGAGGCGCAGGTCTGGCGCGGTGGGCGGGTAGGCTGCGCAGCACGCACGCGCGCGCCGCGGGTCTGCCTACCCCCTCCGAGCACGGCGCCTGGTGGTGGCGGGACGGACCAAACGTGTGGAGCGTGCGGGAGAGTGAGACTTTGCACACACTAAACCCTTATGCATTTTTTTTGTGCATGATTGTGCAGCCTGGCGTGCAGCCATAGTTGCTGAGCTTAACTTGAACTTGAAATTGAACTTCAACTTTAAATGCTCAGCTCTGTCAGGAAGCGCAAGGGGAGACCACCCGGAAGACGGCGTGAAGTGAGGCGCCTGGCGTGAGACGTGGGATGTGAGCAGATGTGAGGTGGACAGGCATGCCAACCAAAATCGCGAAAACATTTAAATTTTAGCGCGCCGCAGGCCAAGGTAGACGCACATTTAGCTCAGCATTACACGGTTTTAACGTGCGTCTACCTTGTTATGCTCATCCTTTCATGCACACTTGTGTACAAATTCTGCACATCTATGCACGAATTTGTGCACAAACTATGGCTGTATAACATTCTGAGAGTTTATGCACAACAGAATGCATAAGGGTTTACTGTGTAGTGTGCAGAGGATGCACACTTGAAAAATAAATGTGACATAAGTCCCGTCATTTTGATCTGCAATCTCCTCAGGAAACGTTTCGTACAATTCTTTGGTAGAATGCTTTTGTTCTGCACAACACGAAACGTTTCCTGATGAGAGTGCATCCAGGAATGTGACAGATGCCATTTTAGTTTCACCAGCGCGTCGGTGGTAGAAGTCACTACTTACAGAGGGAGGAATGTACAAAAACTATACGGTTGCGCGTTGGTGCGAACCTAATCAAGCAGAACGGAATTTAAATCTTTTTCGGAAAAAGAATTCAGTGCTGAGGAATCGGGGGAGGCGAGGGGGTGCGGTCGTGGGATGG